GGCAACGGGATCGCAACCCTCGGTGTTGCCCCCGCGCCTCGCTCAGCCAGTGAGCGGGAACCGGTCTGTATGTGGGATCCGACCCCTCAGCGGGAGCGCCGCCGCGCTTCCCAAGCAGTGCACTATCCAGTGCGCCACCGGGCTGGCCCAGTTCCCTGCAATGTTAATAACTGTTCCAAAAAAATAAATAAGCAAAAGGTTTTGCAGCCAGTATGTTTTGGGAATGCAGATTTGAATGAGAATAAAATAGGCTTCTTGATTGTTAAACTTCTTAATCCTTAATATTAGTGTACACTGCGAGTCTTTGAGAGAAGGATAGAGTGGGCGAACCTAACTGAGCAGGACTGGCTGGAATACTGGCAATTGCACAGAAGGCGCATGAGAGAAGAATCTGGGTTTGCTGTCAGTATGTCTTTACATGTCGCGCTTGCTAACTCCTCTTGTAAGCCCGTCGCTCAGCATTACTATAGATTAATCCAGACTAAGGTTCCCAGGCCTTGGGGGAAGCTTAGCGGTCACCTTGTTTCGTGTTTCCCAAACTTGTCATTCCAGTACCACCTTCACGACTCTTGTCCTACCTAAAGTGCTACTTGTACCATTCTTTCCTTAACCTTTTTCTTTAAATGAACCTATTTTTTGTTCTGAAGTAAGTTTAAAAGCCAACTTTCTAGCACTACTGTATGCGGAAAGCCTCGCTTGCCACAGGAGAAGCTAACCATAGAAAAATAAAAGTAGAGAAAATAAAACAATGTCCTCAAATCCTGCCCAGACGTTGTTGCTGAAGAAAGCCCTGAACTGAGATTCCTTTGCTGGCTCTTTTCTAAGAACGGAGATGAGATGTGTTAGGTGCTGTTTTGAAACCAAACTGAGAGCTTCTCAATTTGTAGTCAGAAAGATTAAAAAAGAATTAAACGAGGAATCACAAAAAAAGAAAAAGAAGAAGAAGAAGCAGGTGAGGGCTGGACTGGGAGGCCTGACTTCACCCTGGGCCTCCCAGTGTCCCACCTGCTGTGCAAGGACAGCCTGAGTCAGACCCTCCGGCTGGAACAGCTTCCTCCCCAGGAAGGAAGATGCTTCATTGCAGCTGCCTTTTCTCCTGCATCCTCTGACTCCTGGGGTCTTGTACCCGCCAGGCCCTGTCTCCTGCACTCAGCGTCTTCGCGTCAGCCTCTGCGGTTGCCTCCAGATGAGATGCTCCTCCTGGGTTCCTGAGCGGGCTCCCTCCGTCTCTCTCCGTGGCCATCTCTCACTTTCTCTGCGCGGTTCTCCATTTCGCCTCTGTATTTCTCCATGCGTCTCTGTCTCTCCGCCTCTGACTCCCTCGGCTGCCTTCTCAGCCTTCCCCCAGTGCTGGCTACCCCCGTGTCTCTCCACATCTCTATCCAGCCCAGGGTGACAAGAGCGGGGACAAGATTATTGGCGGCGTCCCATGTCCGAGAGGCTCTCACCCATGGCAGGTGGCCCTGCTCAGCGGCAGTCAGCTCCACTGCGGAGGCGTGCTGCTCAACGAGCGCTGGGTGCTCACCGCCGCCCACTGCCAGATGAGGTAGGAGCTGCCCAGAGCCGTGCACCCTGTGCCTCCAGCTCGCTCTCCGGGACTCTATCCCCCTCTCTCAGTCACAGTGTCTCTCTTTATGTCGCTCTCTTCTCCCAGCGAGTACAACGTACACATGGGCAGTGATGAGCTAGGCGATCGGAGAGCCCAGAATATCAAAGCCTCAAGGTCATTCCGCCACCCTGGCTACTCCACACAGACTCATGTGAATGACCTCATGCTTGTGAGGCTAAATAGCCGGGCCAGGCTGTCATCAAGTGTGAAGAAAGTCAAGCTGCCCTCTCGCTGTGAACCCCCTGGGACCACATGTACTGTCTCTGGCTGGGGCACCACCACCAGCCCTGATGGTGAGGCTGCCTCAGTGACCCAGGAATCTGGTCCCCAGCCCCTCCTCCCTCAGACCCAGAAAACCAGGTGTCTTGCCCCTTTCCATTGCCCTAGCGTTGAGCCCCTCAGACCTCTTCTCTCTCAGAATTCAGGAGGCTGGCCCCCCAACCCCTTGGGTCCTCAAGCCCCATCCTCTCTGCATCAGCACCCAGGCCTCTACTGACAGCTCTCCCCGCTCCTCCCTGCAGTGACCTTTCCATCAGAGCTCATGTGCACAGATGTCAAGCTCATCTCTTCCAAAGACTGCAAGAAGGTTTACAAGGACCTGCTGGGAAATTCCATGCTATGCGCTGGCATCCCCAACTCCAAGACCAACGCCTGCAATGTAAGCCGCCCTCCCCATCTTCCCTGGGTGCCCTGTCTTCTTGCTCTCAGCACAGTGCCGACCCGCGTGCCAAGCCTGCCCTTGCTCCTCTCCCCGACCCAGCCTCCTTAGGTCTCTCTACCTTGTTCTCTGCCTGGGTCAGTAGCAGGAACACATTTGGGGCCTGGTGTGGCCCTGGGGATGGGGCAGAGAGTTTACTGGGAGTGAGAAAGATGGGGGAGGGATCAGAGAGGGCGATTGAGTTGCCCACCTCAGACTCAAACTTTAAGGGGATGCCAAAAAGCTCAGTGATTGAAATAATTCATATTCTAATGCAATATTTTAAAAATACATATTCATGCAAAAGTCCACAATGAACAAAATATCACAATTTTAAATAAAGAGTGAATCAGTCTTATTGAATTTTCCTTCTGCCTCAGGTGTCAGTGTCGCTCAATAGCACTGACACTGTCCTTATTTAAAATTTGAATACGATATTACTTTAAAAAGTTTGTGGAAAAATAGAATTGAAAGATAATATGAATCTTTCCACGAACTTTTTGAAGTACCTTCATACTATGTTATTATGGGGTTTTTTTTAATTATTATTATTACATGAGTTTTTTAAAGTATTGCCTTAAAATATTGTTAGTTGCAATTACTGAAATTTTGTGCCTGAAGCTAATGCCTCACTTGCCTGACCCTAGTCCTGGTGCTGGGGGAAGAACTCTCTCTCCCGCTTCTTTTTTTTTCTCTCTTCCTCATTTTTTTGTCACACACACCTTCCCCCGCCCCGCACCCCCCCATCTCTGAACATCTTCACACATCTCTCTCTGTTTATGCCTAATTTTGTTTCATTCTTGTTCTCTTTGTTCTTTCTCCATTTGGTGCTCTCTCTCTCTCTCTCTCTCTCTCTTTCTCTGTCTGTCTCCATACACCCATCCCTGGGCCTCACATCTGCAACCTCAGCTCTCAGGGGAGGTGNGCCTGGGTCAGTAGCAGGAACACATTTGGGGCCTGGTGTGGCCCTGGGGATGGGGCAGAGAGTTTACTGGGAGTGAGAAAGATGGGGGAGGGATCAGAGAGGGCGATTGAGTTGCCCACCTCAGACCCAAACTTTAAGGGGATGCCAAAAAGCTCAGTGATTGAAATAATTCATATTCTAATGCAATATTTTAAAAATACATATTCATGCAAAAAGTCCACAATGAACAAAATATCACAATTTTAAATAAAGAGTGAATCAGTCTTATTGAATTTTCCTTCTGCCTCAGGTGTCAGTGTCGCTCAATAGCACTGACACTGTCCTTATTTAAAATTTGAATACGATATTACTTTAAAAAGTTTGTGGAAAAATAGAATTGAAAGATAATATGAATCTTTCCACGAACTTTTTGAAGTACTTTCATACTATATTATTATGGGGTTTTTTAAAATTATTATTACTACATGAGTTTTTTAAAGTATTGCCTTAAAATATTGTTAGTTGCAATTACTGAAATTTTGTGCCTGAAGCTAATGCCTCACTTGCCTGACCCTAGTCCTGGTGCTGGGGGAAGAACTCTCTCTCTCCCGCTTCTTTTTTTTTCTCTCTTCCTCATTTTTTTGTCGCACACACCTTCCCCCGCCCCGCACCCCCCCATCTCTGAACATCTTCACACATCTCTCTCTGTTTATGCCTAATTTTGTTTCATTCTTGTTCTCTTTGTTCTTTCTCCATTTGGTGCTCTCTCTCTCTCTCTCTCTCTCTCTCTGTCTCCATACACCCATCCCTGGGCCTCACATCTGCAACCTCAGCTCTCAGGGGAGGTGGGTGGGATAGTGTGTGTTAGGGATGGAGACGATGGGAGAGAGATGCCTGTCCTGGAGAATGACGGACGCCTCTTCTCCTCTGGTGAGGACCAGCTTCGTGAATCTGCAAACTCTGCAGTGACACAGAGGCCCCATTCAGAAGGGTCTCACATTGGGTTTAACACACTCCTGTTGCCAGCTTGAAATTCTTGATAGTTTTTTAACAAGGAGCCCGCGTTTTCATTTTGCACTGAGCCCTGTGAATGAGGTAATTGGTCCTGCTCTTGGTTTCCAAGACCACCACGGTCCCCCTTTCCTGCTCAAGGGGGCATGCACCCACCCCCTGAAAATAATGCTCCTACCCCTACTGGCTTACAGCAGAGTCCTTAACATGTGAAAATAAATGGTGCTCGGATCCCTGGAAGCCCAGCGCCTTCCCTGTGGTTGGCCCCATTAGCCAGGGTTGAAGCCAATGTCTTCAGAGAACCTGGTTTGTACTTTGCATGGTAACACTAATTCCTGCTCTCCCATTGGTCCCCCAGAGACAATGAATCTCCTCATTGGCCAGGGTGGAAGAAGTCCGTGGTCTGATGGGCAAAGACAGATAAAAGGGGAATATATGAGACTGAGTTGGGGCCAGGGGTTTGCTCTGAAGCCAAAGCTAATCTCCTACTCTGTTTCCTCCAGGGGGACTCAGGGGGACCGTTGGTGTGCAAAGGTACCCTGCAAGGTTTGGTGTCCTGGGGAACTTTCCCCTGTGGCCAACCTAATGACCCAGGTGTCTACACTCAAGTCTGCAAGTACGTGAACTGGATAAACGAGACCATGAGAAAGCATCGCTAGTCCATACACCACCAAGAGTTAAACAATGCTGCACTTCAAACAGAAAATTCACAGAAATAAGGACATTGACCAGCATAAAATCATAGTTGACTTGAGCTTTCCTCAAAGACATATTGAAATCTCAGTTGGATGCCCTGGTTGTAAACCAATCAAATTAGCAAGGACCTAAAATCCAAACGAGTAAAGAAACACAAAAACCTCAGTGGTGGTGAAGTTTCGGTGGGACTAGCACTCTCGAACGCTGGAACTGTAGATTCCTACAGTCTCTGTGGAGGGCAGTTCTGCAACACGGCAACATGAACCGAGACCCTTATTCATGGCCTTCGACCTGGTAATTCTTTTAGGAAGATACTACTACTAAAAAAAAAAAAAAAAACTAAAATGTGGAGCAAAGTTTGAGTTCATCACATTATTTATCATAACAAAAAAGTGGAAACACTGACCATGTTCCAGAAAAGTGAATTGTTTAAATAATAGGCCAATTTGGTTCAAGGATATTATGAAGCTATTAGAAATAATTCTCAGGAAGAGTTGTTAGTGCTATGCAAAAATGTTTATGCTATGTGATGTTAAAGAAAAAAGGAAGATAAAAAAATATATGTGTATGTGATCCTAGCAATGTAAAATAAAATATTCACAGAATAAAATCTGAAAGGATATTTACCAAACTGCATATGGCGTTAGTCATGAGGTGTCTCCTTCCTTCCACTTAGTTAGTAGATGCGCACTTTTATATCCTATAAAATCAAGGTGGAAAAGCTCTGAAGCTCTAAGGTTGGAGAGAGGATACCCTTGAGGAAGGGAGACCAGAAAGAAAAATATATCTGGTCTTGTGCCCTGGTCCTGCCTCCCTGCTCGGTGGCAAGTTTTTCTCCATTTCCCAGGTTTCAGTTTTCCTCATCTGTAAAATGGGAGAGAGAAAAGAGGGGAGGGATGAGGGAGGAGCGAATATGCCTACTTCATCAGGGTGGAAAGGGATGTGAAAGTGCTTCTAAACATTTCACAGGTGACAAACAAGGAGGAAGCAGGGAGGTGCTCAGCAAGGGATAGGGAGGGCAGGTAGACACAAGGGCCTGCCAAAAGTGAGCAACCAGCATCCTGTGTGCCAGAGGAAGATGTTGGCTGGGAATCCAGGTAGGTGGGTTCCTCCACCCCAAGAAGGCAGAGAAGGGGCCTCTGGAAGGAAAGAGGGATGAGGGAAGAGCCCTCTGTGACTCAGTGCCTGGCCACGCCCCCAGCCACCTGCCATCTGAGATTCTCTGGGCAGTCACACCTCAGATTCTGCTGACAGAGGGATCCACTTCAGCCCAGGACTCACCTGCCCCTCCTACCTGTCCTTCCTGTTTCCCTCCCAGAATTTCCTCCCCACCAGCATCCTCCATTTCCTTATCTCATCTCCCACTGAGTCTCTCCTAACCCACCCCCATCGCCATAATGTTACAGAAATTCTGCAGCCAATGACTCTAATTCTCTAGACACGGAGGGGCCAACACAAAACAGGAGTCTGGCCAGCCCTTCCTCCCTCAGACCCAGGAGTCCGTGCCCCCAGCACCCTCTATGCCCAGGCTCAGGAATCCAGACCCTCAGCGTGCTCTGTCTCTAGGCCTGTGTCAAATTTCAGGAACGTCAAGGGGTTTTGGGCACCCATCCCCATGAAGCTCCATCAACTTCCTCTCTCTCTCTCCTGCAAGCCACCCAAATCAATACTCAACTTAAAATTTTAAAAAGTAAAAAACATTGCAGTTGCACTAAATCAGCCTGGAGGTCCTAGGCCCCGCCCCTCTGCTTCTCCTATATGCTAGCTAGGGATGGACTTGCAATGACTTGAGCTGGTGCTCATGTTGAATATTTTTAAAATAACTCCATTTTTCTTTGGAAAGACAGTATAGTGCAGTAGTTCAAAGCACTAGCTCCAGACCTGGATTCTTAGGTTGAAATCCCAGTTCTGGAATAGTTCTACAAGCTATTTGCCTTTGAGCCCTTTACTTCCCCATCCTTGTTCTTAAAATGGGAGAAAAAGCACCTACTTTTTAGGATTATGATGAAGATTAAATAAGTTAATATACAGAAGATGCTCGAACCTTCAACAGGTGTTGGTTTTTATTATTTAGGACTTTCTGGTACTTTCTCCTGCTCATGCACTCAAGAAGTTTCCCTATAAAACAATCTCTTTATTGATGACTTTTGCAGAGCAAGTCAATTGGGAAAAAATAAAATATCAAATAAATATGTGTGACATGTGTCCGTGGCAAAACAGTGAAGGTCACTGGCAAATGGGTAGAGTTGGGGGCTTCGTTCTTTCTCTTCACTCCCCATGGCCTACCACCTCCCTGCTTTCCCCACGTGGCTCTCAACAATTCCCCCCAAATCCATCCACCCCATATTGTAATAAGGTAGACCCAGTGGGGTCTCCGAGAGATGGGCCACATCCGCCGTCATGTTGCAAGTTGAGTTCCAATTCAGGCTCCACCATTTCCTGGGAATTCAATGTTGCACAATTAACTTCCCCACTCCAAGTGTCAGTTTTCTTGTTTATAAAACGGGAGTGGGCATAATAAAGTCATTTAGTCATTTGGTCAACATTTCCTAAGGCTTCCTCTGGGCCAGGTCCTGTGTGGGTACTTGGGACACAGGAGTGAGTCAGCTCCGGTGCCTGCCCTCAAGGATCTCACAGTCCAGTGGGGTAGAGGGACATCAATACAGATGGCCCCAGGTCCAGGTGACTTGAAGGAGGCACGTGCTGTGGGAACCTACATGAGAGAGTGACTAACCCAACCGCAGTGGGTGGAGGTTGGGTGTTTTCAGGGAAGGCTTCCTGGAGGAGTTGATGTTCAAACAAAGACTTGAAGGACAAGCTGTCGTTGCCAGGAAAAGGTGGGAAAAGCATTCTAAGAAGAGGGAATAGCATGAGTGAAGGTCCAGAGGCCAGAGGGCAAGGCAAGGTTCAGGGGAGCTTGAAGTGATCTTGGGGCTGAAGCACACACAGAAGTGGGCAGAGCTGCGCCGTGCACTGTGGTCGCCAGTCACCACCCCCGGCTCTTGACGGCTCGAAATGTGGCAAGTCCCAACCAAGCTGTGCTGCAAGAGTAAAAGACACATCAGATTCCAAACACTTTGTATGCCAAAAAATAAGAAGGCAAACGATCCTGTTACGGATTTTCTTATTTTGATTTCATGTTGGAATAATATATTGAATGTATTGAATTAAATGAAATATTAGAATCAACCCATCCTGTTTCTTTTTACTTTTTTCTTTTCTTTCTTTATTTTTTAATTGACAAGTAAAAATCGTATCCATTTATGGTGTACAACATGATGTTTTGATTCATGTGTGAATACATTGTGGAATGGCTAAATTAAGCTATTTAATGTACACATTACCTCACGTGCTTACTTTTTGTGATAAGAGCACTTAAAAACTTTTTACTTAAAAAAAATCGTGGCTACTAGAAAACGTAAACCTGTGTGTACTCAGCATCACATTTCTATTGGCCAGCGTCTCTCTGGATGCTAAAGGTCCTCAAACACCAGGACTTGGTCCAGAAGGCAATAGGGACCCATGGCAGGGCTGTGACAGAAGGGAAGATCCCTCTGGAGTCAAGTGAGGGATAAAGAAGAGGGGAAGGGCTTGGGACAATGATACAGGTGGAAGAGGGGAAGGACTAAGCTGGGGCCAGGGACTTGGGAACAGAGAGGAGGAGACCCCACAAAGAGAGGAGGCAGTGGGACAGGGATTGAGGGTCAATGGGCTGTGACAAGTCTGACTTGGTGTCTGGGAGGACGGTGGGTCCTAAGAAGATGCTGCATTCAGTGGGGACCGAGTATGAAAGGCCCGCAGGGTGGGGCAGCCCCAGAGGGTACTCCCATACTGAATGCCAAATTGGTCTGCATCCTGGTAGTGATGGGGCTGAGCCACCTAAGATGACAATTGGATTTAATGAGAAAAGAAAAGTTCTCCACGATGCCAGGCCCAAGCAGGTGCTGAGGCAGACTTTATGCACATCACTGTCCTTTATTCCCAACGAGTTCCCATAAGCCTCCATCTTCCTTCTCATGCCCTGCATTTCCCGGGTCCTGTGATCACCACGCCCCTCCACATGCACGTCCCTCCACAAGGCCACACACGCCCTCACCCTCCAGTCCACACCAACACCACCTGCTGTTCTCCACTCTCGCCGGGCTTTCTGGGCCAAGTTCAAAGGCACCTCTCCAAGTGTTCCCCGATCCTTCTGTGGCTTCCCAGAGCCCCCATTTCTCATCATATTCCCCTATCGCTATCAAGGCGTTTGCATTCCTGCCCATCTCCCTGTCTCTCCCAATGTGTAGAATCTCATCAGTACGTCCTCAAATCCTCCTGTACCCCACTAGGTTCCCATCGCTCCCCATGCGATCTCGCCTAGCTCCCCCAAAACCTAACTCCCCTCTGTGTGCATACGTGTATTTCCCCAGGAATCCTAGGGGGAGACCCAGGAGAAGATAAGCAGAGAGAGTCAGAAGATCAAGGTGAAAGAAAACGACAGAAAGAAGAGAGACAGACAGACAGAGAGCAACGGATGGAGACAGATGGGGAAACAGAGAGAGAGAGAGAATGGTGAAAGAGGCAGGGGGTAGAGAGACACAAATACAGAGACTGAGATGAACAGACAGAGAGAAAGAGAGACATGGAGACGCCCCACCATGGCCAGGGGGAGAGATGGAGTGAGAGACCTCAGAGGTGGCCAGACTCGGAGGAGATGAGCCAGGAGGGTCAAATTCTGAAATCTCCAGGCAGGGGCAGGTGGGCAAAGGGCCGCAACAGCAGGACTGTCACACAGGACAAAGGACAGCTATTGTAGCAGCCGCCCGCCCGCCTGCCCGGAAGAGAAGTTAAGAAATGGAGCTGTTGGGAGCAGGCACTGGGGTGCTGGGGGTGGACAAAGCCCGATTGTTCGAGGGCCCTTTCCCCATAGTGCCTGGGCTTGCTCCCCAGCCCGGGGCAGGGGCAGGTGCCAGTTTGGTGACACATGCTTTCTCGGAGGCTGGCTCACTCGCTCTCTCGTGGGGACACAGAGGTCGTCAGCACACAGAGGGACATACGGGCAGGTGCGTGAGTCACCCCAACCCCATTGAACCTGGGCAGTCTGTTCCCAGTGCCCAAGGGCTCTAGACTCTGGAGTGAGGACCTGCAGGTCCCTGCGTGGTCACAGACAGAGGTAGTGGGATGCCTGGAGGCCAGGGGCACCATTTTCTTGGGTCCTCAGACGATTTCTTCCTCAAGGACCTAGAAGTCTAAGGACTGAGGAAAACAAGCTCCCATTTTCTTCTCCCTCAGATCTAGAAGTACAGATGCTCAGCCCCTTTCTCCCTGAAGCCTCATCATTCCAGACCTCCAGACTGTCCTTCCCCAGACCCAAGACTCCAGGCCCTAAACCCCTCCTCCCTGAGATGGGAGTCCCAGCCCCCAGACCCTCTTCAGCCAGACCCAGGAGGCCACATCCCCAGCCCCTCCTTCCTCAGACCCAAGAGTCCAGGCCCCAGCCCCATCATCCCCCATACCCAGGAGTCCAGGCCCC